GTGGCAAAGTTGAGAATACCTAATGAGACAGAAAATGCAGCTGCCACCACCCAGGAGAGCGCAAGAGTCACAGCAATGGATCTGCTCGGACTTCCAAAGACCAACTTCAATGCTGGGCTCCAGCAGCCCTCTTTGTTCCCAAATCTCATTGGATGATTTTAAAACTCTGTCCCTTTTCTGGGAAAGGCTCAAGACTCAAGTATTCCATAAATAGGGAAATAATCCCTTAGTAGAACTATTTCTATGTGATTTATGTTTCCTGCTCCTAAATTTAAACTCAAAATAAAATGGTAACACTATCCATCCAGCAATGTGATCTTTTAAACAATGCCTAAACCTGATAATACTAAACACTAGGGCTAGGGAGATGGCTCAGTAGGTAAGGGCATTTGCTGTGCAAGCAGGAGAAATGAGTGTAAATTGTAAGCAAACTTGTAAAATCTTGGCCAGGCCATACTGTCTATAACTCCATTATTGGGGTGTGGAGATAGGAAAGTCTAGGGAGCTTGCTGGCCAGCCAGCCCAGCCAAAGCAGTAAGGTTCAGGTTCAGTGACTCTATCTCAAAAATAAAGTGGAACATTAAGAGGAAAACAGCCAATGTTTCCCTCTAGCCTCTATACACTTGTGCATCGAGTGCACATACTCCACCCCACATGCACACACACACACACACACACACACACACACACACAGAGAGAGAGAGAGAGAGAGAGAGAGAGAGAGAGAGAGAGAGAGAAATGCCACAAACACATACCAACTATTAGTAATGTACCAGTCTCTTTAGCCGAATCTTCTAAAACTAAACATATACCTACTCTTCAATCTAGGAATTTCACTCCTAGTTTTATAGCCAATCAAAATACACACTTATATTTGCCATAAGATGTGCATATAGATGTCTACAAAATGACACATAAGGTTCCAAACTTGTTCAAGAAAGGTCGGACAAAATTAAAAACGTGAACTATTGTGGTGTATTTAGCATGTGGAAAACTCTCCAAATTGTGTAGTGTAGTGGTGAGAAAAAGAAGAAATATTCCATAGAACAATATAGGACATCATTACAAGCTGTTTTAAAAATACACTGCAGAATTGTATTGTATGATTAATAATTTAAAAAGACATAAACTGACTCATGATAGCAGAAGTAAGCAGTAGACACCTGTGACTGTAAGGTAGAAAGGGTGTAAGTGAGCCAAGATGCAGGCACTCTTGTTTGTCATGGGATCCCTGTAATATGTGTGTGTCCATTCCAGAAGCTATTTAGTTTTGCATAATTATAAAGATAAAAAGAAAACAATTATTGTTATAAACTTGTACACTCCGCTTTAATATTAATGCTAGGAACATTAATAATTATAGCCAATATTGGTATGCCATTTGTATCTATCTACTTGTCAAAAAGTTTGACCTTGGTAACAAATCCTATGAATTTTTTTAAAAAATGGGTATTAGAAAATAATTCACTCAGGCTTATGTAGGTGAGACTCCAGATCTTGTTAAATGGTTTTTAGCAATAGATATTTGACCATGAAATCATCTTAATCCATAATTAAAACAGATACTAGTCCGTGAAATTGCTATTTTAATCCTCTATTTTCAGAAATGTAGGAAGTGATGTGGGTTTGTTGTTGTTTTGTTTTTGTTTGAGTCAAGACTCACAATCTTCCTACCCCAGCTTCCTAAGTGTTGGTATGTGTTATCACATCGGGCTGAGACACAACAATTAAGACATTCAAACACGAATTCTTTATAATTGAGTCGCAGGTTCCCAAGTCCCAATTTCTGAGACAAGTGGGCAAAGTTCCAGGCATGTTTCTGCATGCGTTGAACGGCTGCTGGTTTCTGAAGGCTGGCGCTCTCTCTGTCTGAACAGCTTAAGGTCAGGCCCCTGAAAATGAGACCCCAGCATCGAAAACAGGGTTTTGAAGGATGAGAACAGAAGCTTTTCACATCTGACCCTAGCAGGAGACTTTCACTCCCAATGTCTAGGGTGAGCACAGAGAACAAGAGTGATTCTGACAAGGATGTGGGACCTAAGGCAATCAGTTCAGCAGATCACATCTCATCTGAGAGAAATTCACCACACTTCTAAAAGTCAGTGGGAAAACAGCCATTCTAAGAGACAAAGCCAATAACGCGATAAGCGGGATTGTATCCCGAGAGACGCCGTTATCTTTTCCACTTTCCTTGTTTCTCTCTAATGCTACTTTACAAAAAAAAACAAAAACAAAAAAAAAACAAAAAACCTACATTAGAGACTATGTTGAAGTGATGATTTATTTAGTTCACTTTGTTATAGTCTCTTGTGGATTTGTTGGCATATCTGACCACTACCTAAGTCTGCTTTTCATGAAGAACAGACATGGGATGCGGTCACAAGGATAATTTTCAAACTCGTGAAACAAACATAAAGAACCAGTGATATTTTTCACAGGAATATCATCCACTCACATCAACCTTGTGGTTCTTCACCATCATACCTTTCAACATTTCCTCTTCTTTACCCAGGAGAACCTTATAACCACACTTCCCAGCATCTTATTCTGTGTGTTTCTGGCTTAGATACAGCATCCAAAATCAGAGGAAGATGGAAGAGACATAGCCACCGTTATTCTCTGGTGGTATTTTTCTGGCAGACAATTCAGAGCAGCAGCTGCTGGGGCACTAGAGAGTTCTTGAGTGGCTGAGATAATGGACAGTGGCTTGCTTTCACATCTGTGGTCTCTTCCCAATCAATCAGTCGGATCTTAAAAGCAGTGGGGACCATCCACTCGGATGTATTCACAATCACTTCAAGGTTTCTTGGGTGTGGACTACTAACCATTTCCTTATTCGGCCTGCCCTAACCCTCCTGTCAGACATACAACCATGACATTCATACATCCTACATCTATCTAATCAGGCTATCTAGAGTGGCTCCTATAGCTCTATTTAAAGCAAACTGATGTACTATTCATCCCTCTTCATCGGTTCAAAGCAATTTATTAGTCAAAACGGTACTTTACCAAAAGTTATTATCACTAATTGACTGGAAAATCCTATGTGATTTCCAGGTAGGCTGTTAACTGCTTAACACACATTTTATTCAGATAAATGCACACGGATGAGAAACAAGTAAGGGGCCAATATTTGTGCATTATGTATCCATGTTCCAACCAGAGTGACTGTTCCCTTGATTCCAGTACAACTCAACCAGTGGGATGTCAGTGTTAACACCACCATTTCATTCCAATCCCCCCAGCTCTTCTCATGCATGGATATTTAGTTCTAAAGAATTTCACCCTGTTTTGTGTCTTGTACCTAGCGCCGCCACCAAGATACCAATTCTGGCAGCCAGGACTCCAAGTATGCTTTTGAGTTTCAGTCTTTACAGTGTCTCTACATGTGGTAAGAGCCTCTCTGTTTCCCGGATTAAAAGGCTAAACTGCCACAAACAGTTTAAGTCATCAGTTCAAACAACTAAACAACTGAAGTTAGAAGATAACCAAACCAGAATTTGAACACAAATTATCTTATACCAAAGCCAGTGGCCTGGCCAGCAGCAGAGTAGAGCTGTCCCTGCCTCTGCTCCTGGGGACAGTCACTGTAACCTTTCCTGTCTTACTGGCTCTCTCTCTCACTTTTCAAAAAAAGAGACTAAAAGGGCCATTCTTCACTGTGAGCAATAAATGAGGCATAAATTATGCTTTTTCCATATTTTTCCTCTCCTGTGACTTTGCAAGGAACTAAGCACATTGACAAAGAGCCATTTGACACCTTGCAGACTTCATTTTTTACTACAAATGATGTAGCTATTGTTGAGTTGGCAGATTTTTTTAAGTCTCACAGGCAACAAACACGTCTCTCTTAGAAACCAGATTTGACGATAATAGAATAGTGCTGATCATGTGGGCCCTGGGTTGGATGCAGAGAACAAAGGAGGTTCCTTATAAATCTCAACAGCATTGCCACACCAGCTATGGATGTTAATAGGGGTGCGAAGGAGCACAAATACTGTAATTGAAATCCACGGATATTCTCAAAACTTCATTTTACTCAATTGTTTCAGTGCCCTTGTGGACAAGCCTTGATAAGAATGGATAACAAGCAGTCCCGTGACTGATATGTGTTTCCTTTGCTCTTTCTTGTCCCAACAGAACCCAGCCACTAAGAAGCTCAGCCTCCTACCACGTGGCCAGGAAGGCACTTGGCTTCTCTGACACAAACACAAATACTGCCCATTAATCTTTATGACATCCCCAAGTCAAACATATACCACACAGTCTCAGAGTCACAGTGTGGGACTGGAAGTAAAACGTGTTCTTTACATATCTTTTAACTGATACAGCATTGATGTGTCATTTACCTCTTAGTCTAGGGGCCAAGAATCATCCTTTCATTTTGTACCATTGTGGCATAAGCAACACATTTAGGCTGTGTTCCTTTCAGTTTGAATTAAAAGATCAAACTGATTATAAACCTGAAGGAAAAAGAAATCTTGAAACCTTCTGTGTTTGCCTATGGGTGTGTTTGTGTTGCTGTGTTAAACAGTGCTAATGAGACAGCTGTACGGACCTGAGGTTTACTTTCTTATAGTTGTAGAGTCCAACTTAGGTCCACAAGAGTCTTCTCTATGTGTCCTTTGAGGGGGAAGTATATCATGGTCTTGAGCCCAGGAAAATAAGAGAAGCAACAGAGTCAAACAGTTTTATCAGCATTAGCATGTTGAAGGAGGCACAACACAACCTAAACATGACTCACCAGGTCCTACCTTTCAGACACCTTGTACTGAGAATTAACTTGCAGCACATGAATTTGGGAAGGCTGATTATTTAGGGGTACTGATCCATAACACAGCACCTCATTTCAGCATGTTTTAAATATAATAATGTATCAAGACCTCAGAAACAGGAAGTGACTTGCAGCATTGGAGAAAAATCCAAGTGTTACTGCATAATTGCATCTTGCACATGGCCACAGCAAGGAGTCTGTGTTATTTTTCCTATTCAAAAGAAAGAGCTAGCTTTGGTAGTACAATATTAAAATTAGAATGATACATAGATTAGCAAGACCTCTATATAAGGATGACATCAACATCTGTGAAGTGTTTCACATTTTTAGCTGGGAATAGTAGGTCACTATTATAACCTTGGCATGTGGGAGTCTAGGCCTACTGTGAATAGGAGGCCAGTATGAACTACTCTGATGGAGGAAGGTCATTGGTTAAAAAATAAAGAAGCTGCCTGGCCGTCATAGGTTAAAACATAGGTGGGTGGAGTAAACAGAACAGAATGCTGGGAGGAAGAGGAAGTGAGCTCAGATGCTATGCTTCCCCTCTCCCGGGCAGACGCGATGAAGCAAGCCGCCAGGTCAGACATGCTGAATCTTTTCCAGTAAGACTGGTGCTACACAGATTACTAAAAATGGGTTAGGCAAAATATGAGAATTAGTCCGTAAGAGGCTAGAGCTAGTGGGCCAAGCAGTGTTTAAATGAATACAGTTTGTGTGCTGTTATTTTGGGGCACAAGCTAGCCAGGCGGCCAGGAGCCGGGCTGTGGGAAGAGGCCCGCAGCTCATACAACACTATTCAGTGAGTTTCAGACTTTGCCCAGAAGACACTATACAGGACCCTGTTTCAAAAATTAAGAAACATAGGAATTATCCCTTAAGTCTTTTAAAACATATGCACAAAACATACACACATGAACCACACATACACACAGAAACCACACTACACCACCAACACATCCCATGCAACACATAAACCACACATTTACATACACACACCACCACCACCATCATCACACACACATCTCATATATGAAACATCATATACACATATTGCATATCCCCCACATACACTATACGCATATATATATATCCCCACATTACACACATAAATGCTGTACACACATCACCACGACCTCCATGGAAGACAGAGACAAACAGATATACACACACTTCATCACAACCACAAATAGACAGAGACATAGACACAGACATATACAGGGAGAGACAGAGAGAGACAATACAATTCTACACAGTATATGGCTTCTAACTATGGAGAATAATCACTGATAAACATTCTGATTGACCAGACATTATTTCTGCTTTTGTGACGTTGATTCTAACTAGGTCTGACATTTTGTTTGTCTCTGCATTACCTAATCTTAGCAAAAATATTAATTTAGTTAACCTGATAACCATAAAAAATCTATTTATCTAATCGTAATCCTTGGGGGATGGCTCCAAGTGGAACCCAATATATTAAGGAATATTTAACTAAAACCTAAGGTTTCAAGAGGGTAGTTTTATCTCAGTATTTCTAAAGTGGGCATGGTGATATTCATATTTTAGGGATATCTACATATCTCTAAATATAATTATAAGGGATAATATATATTATATTCATGATTATAGGCTATGAAAACAGTCAGAATTGAATGTCTTAAATCAAAGGAGTTGATTTTGGTGAGAGTTCTTTCTCCTTTTCAATACATACTTTATGTGAATTCAAGCAAGAGTAGTGAACCATTGATCTGGACTGTCACCAACTACAGTGTCAAAGGAGAACCTGTGTATATGATCTCATTTAGTGAACATGCTCTGTTAAATCTTAAAAATTTCATCCACACTTTGTACAACTTCTAGAATTCCAGGAAATATAAAACTATACAATACATCTAGAAATACCTAGACTATTCGGCATCTTGTTCAAGTACAAAGTTTTACATATTCAATAAATGTTAATACTACTAAGCTATACCACAGAATGTGTCCCCGACAGACTGACAGCTCCTAGTCTTTAACATACTTGCTGGTAATCTTGCCTTCTCTTCTTCTTTCCCAGTGTACAATCTTCTCTCTTGTGGTAACTGCCCAGATCATAGCCAGATACACAGTTCTCTAGAAACAGACACTATTTTCTAGGTAAGCAGATTTATGAGATGAAAATAGGGCAAAGGAAAAGTCAGTGGAAATGACTGTCTTTAAGGGAAAAGTCATACCCTCTATTTTCTTTTTTTGGGGGGGAGGGTATTTTTCGAGACAGGGTTTCTCTGTAGCTTGTTGGTTCCTGTCCTGGAACTAGCTCTTGTAGACCAGGCTGGCCTCAAACTCACAGAGATCCTCCTGCCTCTGCCTCCCGAGTGCTGGGATTAAAGGCGTGTGCCACCACCACCCAGCTACCCTCTATTTTTTAGTGGTTGGAATACAAACCTTGTAGACAGAGGAAGTGCGGCCACCTTACCCAGGAGGGTTGTGGTCCAAGAAAAAACCCATCAGTCTGCTCTAGAAATTATCTGGATCTAGACTTCAATTTGAGATAGAAGTTTCTGGGTTACTTATACCACTACTAATTGGGATATTTTTTTCTTTTACTTTCCCCTGTGAAGAACTGAATAATGTTCTGAGAGTTTACACAGAGCCTTCAACTCCCAGTTGCTGAGAGACCATGATGTAACTCAGTGACAGTGTATAGCATGTATGAAGCCCTAGGTTCATTCTCAGCATTCTCAGAGTGATAAAGAAACAGTAATATATTGGTGTGTAAGCAATACTATATCAAGTTAGTCATGGCTGAGATTAGAGAAGCCAGACATGAGCAGATGTGGAAGGTCCACAGCTTTGAGACTCTGTCTTCCTAACCTGTGATCATCAGCAAGTTGAGTGTGGTTTCATGCAGAAAATGCCATGATGATATTCTTCACACTTTTCAGAGAATTATCTCCCCAGTTATCTCTGTGTAGATCAAGATTAAATAATCTCAATGAAGGCTAACTATCTCTTTGTTCTTTTTATAATCCTGGTCCACAAAGAATACCTCTAAGCCAATGAAAAGCCAGTGGGCTTGGAGTAGAGGGCATCATGACTGACCTCCTGGGTCGGTCCTCCTGGTAGCTTTCTGCTACCCAAACACAATCAAGATTCTAAAGTTCTACAGGTTTAGGAAGACAGGGATATGAAAGCATGTGGCTCTGCTATCATAAGAAATGCGATGGTACGGGATGGGGAGGAAGGATGCTCATTGTCCTATGTTACTATCCACAGTACTTTACCAGCGAGCCAATCTTATCATTTTTTTCACTTCAAATATTTATTTTATATTTAATTGAACATATGTGTGTGTGCAGCCACCTCCATGCTTATACTTGAAAAGGCCTGGAGAGGCTACCAGCATCAAATTCCCATAGAGTTAGAGCTATAGGCATTTCTCACCTGAAGCGTGCCCCCTGTGCCCATGTGGTTTAAAGGATATAGCTCTCCATCCAAATCTCCATCCCTTCATCTATTTTTATTCACCTTGTGGTAATTTCGCTATGTGAAATTATCTTAATTTGATATTTATATGCTTCTTACACTCATAGTTCTATTTTACTTCCATTAGCTTGCAAACTGATTACAAGCCTGGGATTTTTGTCTGTTTCCTTTATGAGCATATGACTTCATCAAGTATAACACCCAATATCAATCAGCAGGGCTTATTGCTATGTATCTACACATGTTTAATATCAATTGATAGTATAGTGAGCTACAATTCTCAGGAATTATAGATATGTTCAATCTTATTTGATATTGAGCTATAATTTTCATTAAAACCTTGGATACAAGGCACTGACTCAAATCAAAATTCAGCATGGAACATGAAATTGGTTCATAGGTGACAAAGACGGAGTAGAGGAGCAACAGAATTCAACAGTCAGGGAAAGCTAGAGACAGGTCCAGAAAGTCAAACTAATTTAAAAATAAACCTCCCATTTGTATGTCGCCCAAACGTGCTAATCAAAACTGTGTACAGTGAAGTCTTTTAACAGAAGCCTTCTAAGTAACTCTGCTGCACTGCAAGTTGTTGGTATCGAGCTCGAAACGAAACAGTGGTTTTTACATTATGCTCCAGGAAGTAGATGCTCTCAAAAGATCTCCTTCAACTTTTCTCTGGCAACTATTGATCATATCCATAGAAATTAAGAGGAGATGGCAATTAAGTGTAAAATTTAATGGTGCTCCGCTGCTGTTAATTTACTGGCTGGCTCGATCAATGTGTCACCCTGGATAGAAATCTATGTACCCCTGTGTGCTTGAAAATTCTATGCTGCCCTTTCAGCTAAATTTATAACAATAACATGCAAACAAAGACTAAGTGGGCACTGCAGAAAGAGGTGAGAGGATAAAAAGCAAGAAAAAAAAGTTTTGCAATTGTATTTACCATAGTATTTGTCACTTTTGGGATTCGCCAAGTGATCCATGAACTACATTCATCAGAAAAGTACATTTTTTTCCTCCCAAAGAGTGCTAAAAATATGTATTTGTCATGGGCATTCATTTTGCCTGACAAACAATGACAAGAGGTCCTACACATGTTATGATTTAGTCTGAAATGTGTCTTTTAACACACAACCCAGGTGGATTAGGAAGCCCAATGGCTTCCTCACTTTACTCTGTGCCAATGGATTTTCTTATGATAAGCCATAAGATAAAACTCCTGATAATAACATATAAGATGCTAAAATACCCCTTCCTGCAAAATCTATATAGGATGGATTATACATTGATTATACTTAATTTTATTTCCACTAAATCAAGTATAGACATACATTTAAAACTATTTAAAGATACAAAAATGTAAAGTAAGTTTAAGTGTTATTTCTCTATCATTTTTATATGTCTTCCTATTCAGAATTTCCCCAAGGTTTTCAGAAATGTAACTTACAATAGCAAGAATACATCCTGTCTTATCAAAGATTTACCATTTACTGTGAATGCACAGAAAATGTTTCTTGCTTTCATATTCTTTCTGAAGCCCTGATAATTGCTCTAGGAGCAATAGATTTTCTTCAAAGGTGATAATGCATTGTGAATGAATAGCTAAAAGCACCCCCAGAAAGCTGGGCATGAACTGAGAGGGGAACCAGAGGTAAGCATAGATAGACAGGGGCTGAAGCATGCCAAGACATAGGACAGCATAGACAGAAGGATCCATTCCAGAAGAAGAAAGGCTTTTTGTCTCCATCTTGAGACCAGATTATTATAACTGAAATCCGTTTTCATTCCCACTGACATTAGGAGGGTATGTTGTGCTCTGTATACCACTATAGTGTCCTCAAAACCCAAGGTGGTTGT